TTTCACAAATGGCGGCGCCCTGTCGTGAACTTCAGCCAGTCTGAGGATAAATGCATTTTGGTTTGTTTTCACCCACTTACAAAATCACAACTAATTTCTACTGGTAGTAAAATATGTATTTGATTGATGGCCAATAGGATTTTGCATGACAAAGCTTATAACATAACAATTTCTCTAGTGGAAGCGAGGTGGGTGTCAATATAATACTACTTACAGTATTATTGTTACTTCGACCACAACCTCGCTTCCGAGGAAGAAATCGTTATGTTACAAGTTGTGTCATGGAAGATCTTTATGGTCTGTGATCGGTCGAGACAACAATGACGTCACGAAGCCATATATTGACCGTGATCGTTCGATTTGTGATTTCCAGCCATTCAAACGTGTCAATTCTGGCATTGGAAGTGGCAATTTTGACATGACTTGCAAAGTTCTGATAACTGAATATGCTGACATCTTCCCAGACTTCAGTACTCTCGCTGAAATTGCACTCACAATACTGGTGAGCTGAGAGGGGATTTGGAAATAGAAATCCACACTGCAAGCAGAAACCATCTTGCACAGCATTGTATGATAATCTCATGATTCTCATCATGCAGCATGATCGTTCAACTTCACCAGAGCAGCAGAACTATTTTGTAAAACTAAAATAAGAAAAGTGTAATTAACAGTTGATAACTCATTAACTGTACAAGTACTGCAAAACAAACTGTTGTGGTTTAGGTTTGGTAACATGACGTCATTTCACAGTTCATGTTCGATTGCAATTTGATAGGTTTATCCTGAATAAAAATGAAACACAAACACAAACATAATCATGCTGTTATCATTATTAACATGGAAAAGAAGTGGACTGGTAAAAATAATAAGGGGCTGGTTTATTTGAGGCTTACCAGTCCCATGGACTGGTAAATTTGAAAATCACCGGAAACACTGACCAAAACCTTTTGAGTAAACTAGCCAAACCTGTCATTTGATATTACTGTTAGTGAATGGACATTTATTTGCCTAGCTTACTATCCCAAAAGAGAGTGTTGTAGACAAGTTGACTAGTAGCTAAACATGGCTACAGTCACCTACTGCTATGCCTCATCTGCATGTTTGCACAATGTGTATTGTTTGCAACTCTGGAGAACTACTGACAATTGCTAGTCTGATACTGCCTGGCTGCACATCACTATCATGACTTATTCTAGAAATATTAAAAGTTGCATTTTATTACAAAAAGCATATTTTACAAAAGAGACTGGTTGTTTGAGTTCCAACTGTCAATCGTCTTTTCAACTATTCACAACCTTTTAGTTATATAATGAAAGTGTATCATATATTTCAGCAAAGGGATTCTAAACAATCTTAAAAACTTTAATATAAACATCATGATATATAGTGCAATTGAGAGGATGTCATATTTTTATGATAAGAACACTTATTACTTTATGTTGGCCAATTATTTAACTAGAAACCCAAATCATGCTTATCATTTTTCTGATGTCAATTTCATGTTTCTCTAATTTTGGTTAACAATTTACTCTGAAATGATCCTATTTTGTGAAATATCTGTACGAGTATTGCAAAATGGGATTTTAGAAACTATTTATATAGAAACTTGCCATCCTCATTTTTCATAATTCAAACAGCTGAGTCTTTTAAGTGACTGTTTCATGATCTACTGTTTATTCCCCTTTTTAATACTATTTCAGGTTGGGTAATCTCTGGCTAGCCTTGAAATTGCCAGTGTATACATTTCAACCAACATGACAATGTATTTGTAATTATGTACATGGTGTGAAATAGTCTCCTGTATATTCATCAGGCTGCAACTGTCTGGGCCAAATCCACAAATAAGCAATTAGCAAAAACTAATTACCTTTACAAATCAAGAGTACCAGTATTGTCCTTTCAAAGGGAATGCTCCAATGCCAAATAAGCCAGCCCACCAAATCTGATCTGATCCAACCCCTAATCATTTGCTTGCAGTCATAATAAAATGAGATGGTTGGATGGTTTCCTGTTTAACTCCGCACTCAGTAATATTCCAGTTATATGGTGGGCCAGACAATCCCGTGATCAAAAGCATGATCATCAATCTACACAACTGGGATACGATGACAGGTGTCAACACCTCAGCAAGCCTGACCACACGATCCCATTAGTCGTCTCTTAAGACAAGCAAGGGTTGCTGAAGACTAATGCTTACCCAGATCTTCATGGGTAATAAGCATGAGAAAGGGCATAAGGAGTATTTTAGTTGTCAAGTCTTTCATAGCAGTAAGTGTGACTTACAACAGCAACGCAATGATCAGTTTTCCAAACAAGGGCCTGGGTTAGCAAATTCCTAATCAACAAATCATGGGAGTCCTTTCACTTCCATGATATACAGTTTCCCAGCAGTAATCTTTCAAAGCAGGGTTTCGGGCCATAAACAGTTTTTCTTTTAATGCTATTTGTCCTCACCAGCTCTATTCAATAACTAAGTCCATTTTGTTTGTTGTTTAACGCCACATATTCCAGCTCTATAACGGTGGTCTGTAAATACTCACGTCTGGACCAGACAATCCTGTGATCAACATCATTGTTGTCTGATCCAGACTTACATCACTCTACGCAGTTGATAGTTTGTAACGAAGGGACATGGTTGATCATGAATGGTAGAATCACAATCTCACATTCAACTGAAAGAACTATAAGTTGGTGGCTCATTAATTCAATAATTCCCATTCCTTTTATTAATACAAGTAACAGAGATTCCTTGAAACAACATACATTTAGGTCTGCAAGTTGAAGAAACCCTTGTTAGTATAGCAGATAGAGTACTGGCTGCCGAACAGTAATCGCCGTGTAACAACAGTTATCGCCAATACATCTGTATCATGCATGCGCAGTTGCGGTCAATTACACTTTCCGTATTTTTTCACACAGTATTTGACAACGATAAAGGACAGAAAAGCAAATTCTTCACACTCACAGTAAGTAACATAAGAGAAAAATTAAAGATAAAGTTATGAACGGTATAACATTTTTTAACCTAGTCGAGGGGATGTCACATGATCTATTTAATGGCAAGTTTAATTTCATTAATTTCATTAATTGTTTTATTCACACAATCAATTATTAGAGTTTTTTTATGATATAAATATATATTATTTCACAAATGACATGAGGAATTCTGAAAAGGCGATAACTGTTGCAGTTAATTGTGAGGAAACATCTATTTGTCCTGTCATGATTCCCTTCCGCCGCATTATATAAAAACATGATGGGTGGCACCGAACAGGCTGGACACATCGGTCAATAGCTAATTAAGTGTCATGATTAATTTTGTTTCCTTAATTTAACGAACAGCGGAGTAATTTTGTAAATACCACTAAAATATGGCAATAACGGTTGAGCAGCCTGTATAATGCTGAAATATATCAAGGTTGTACTTATTAGACCTGTACAAGCGAGTCCGGTAATTTTGCGCATCCGGTAATTCTGCGCACCTGCAATAGTGTACTTCCGTGTCGAGGTAAACATCGTCTGCTACCACATTTACGCATGATATTGGGTCATTTCTACAGGGGACTGGCTTTTAATCACTAAAGGTAAGTAAATAACAGTAATTGACACATAAATTGACAGTTTTATGAAAATTTCGTTTTCTTCAGACTTTGAAACCTTTTTCTTCATTATTCATAATTGGATTTAATATGAAACACTCTTCCTTACATTGATGAAGTGATTTTTGAAAATGATCTGGCCCTAATACGCTTCCATACTTCGGATCTCCAACTGGATGTTATGCGCATCAATTGCTGCGCAGAATTACCGGACAGCAAGCGATGTCGTCAGAACGCCGGTTAGGTCAACCGCATGGCATAATGCAACGTTAGAATCTTATAGTCGTCAATAAAACTTATATTTCTAGGTAAATATGATGCATACCAGCATGTTTAATCACGTAAACCACGAAAAATAAGAGACGTTACATGCCGTGTTGCGATCGATGTGCTAAGGTGCGCGGAGTTACCGGACGGCATTGTATTATGATGGTACATGCAATTAGGTCAAGTAATGTAATCTGAGCTTATCTCCAACTAACAAACTGTTGGCTGACAGCATGATAGACACTGTGCATGCATCAGGGTATGTGATTGTGATTGACATATCAGAAATGTCTTAAGATGTTTATCATGGGTTTACTCCAATTCGTTGGTTTCACATTAATTTTCGACTCGCTGTGCGCATGCGTAGAGCATGTAAAAATATCCACTGGTCAACTTCCGGTTTGGTCGTATTAGCGATATTGTAAACACACTCTAAATAAATGCTGTATGAATATTATTTCACGATGACAACTGTTCATAGTTACTTACATACATCCATTTGCCTAGAATAATTGATGTCCTATTTTGGATGTGCATCAGAGATGTGTTTTGTTACTTGTGAAGGGATGCAAGAAGGGCCGGTGGGCCGGGTGGTGAGATGTGTTCATACAAGAGCTTGTTAACAAATGTTAAGCTATTTATTTAACTAATTCCGGTCCCTTCCATTCATAAATGAATTGAGATCAGTTAAATTCGACATAAAACCATATATTTGTTTTGATTTTTGCTTTCTTTAGAGTGTGTTTACACTATCGGTAAAGCATGCGCTCAGCGAGTCGAAAATTAATGTGAAACTAAAGAATATAGTGTATGACAATGGCGTATACTTCAGTTTTCAGTGCTATTCTGTCGAAATAATCTGAACCATGGTAAATGTGACTGGAAGCTGAACATGCCAAAAAGGACACTTCACTTATAGTCAAAATAAAATGTGCTTAAGTTCTACTAATAACACAAAGAGCAGACAGGGCTCTTTAAGTCACTGTCATACCAATTTTTGATTATGCCTGCCAGTAAATTATGCTTGAACAGCAACACATATGCCCAAATGTTTTGCAACATAATGCGAATACTGAAAGACAGGTATTCATAAAATGTTCAGCGCATATAAGAGAATGTCAGAGAAATGCTCACCTGTGTTTTGCGAGACATATTGTTTTTGCCGGTGATTTCCACGCTTACATCCTCGTGTCTGGACTGGTTTCTAAGACTAGACTTCGCTTGATCTCAGAAACCGGCAGGTGCCCGTTTCGCCAACAACATGTAAGTCGACTGTCTTTTATCAGACCAATTTTTTTAACGATGTTCGTTATGATAACCAAAACAGCTTAACGTGACCGCGTTAACAATGATGCACCCGACATGTCAACTGTTCGATAATTTCATTCAATGTTACTTGGATATAAACATAACAACCATGAAAATAACCTCTAACCTCGTACCAAAGTGATTTGCTTGGCATTGACATATTAGTATAAAATATGTTTGCTACATTTGTTACCATTTCATGCAGGTCATTGAAACTCTGATTGTTAGGACCTTCGATTTATACATATTAGGGAATGTTTTTAAATTAATAAGCATAGTTTGAGGCTATAATCTACTGATCACATGACCCATTCAAGATGTCGGCCGACCTTGTATCTGGTAAGCGGGAGGCGTGTTGCAACAGCCACACCTGATGCGCTTATCGGCTGTCAGGATTTTCAGCTGTGTGAATTACACACTGTGTTAGTGAAATCACCCATTGTAATGTTGTCTTTATTTTCAGGGTCGGTCCCTCCTCTATATCGCGAGGTTTATGAGATCGTCTGTCCAAATCAAGAACATGTCGACCGCGAACTATTCGTGCAAATGATGGTGAAATCCAGTTTGCCCAAGCAAACAATTATGCAGGTGTGTACTTTTTGTGTGCAATTGGTGCATAGTTATATGACGAAACATATGTCGATTGCGTTATTGCATTATTCATCTCTCAACGCTATGACCGCCTGTCAAGTAGGTTGTCAATTTCCAGATCTCCCTTGCGCTTCAAAGTGGGCGTTTCCAAAGAGAAGTTTTGTCTTGTGTCAAGATGTATATGACAGTTTTCTTGTCATTGATTTTGATGCATAGAAATAAAAGTGTAACATCGTTTCACGATATTGTCAAACTATACAAATAAATATGTGCTTTATGTACACGTTTGTTTCTGGTAAAAGATGTTATGAAAACGGTTATTTTGACTTTTGGTCAAACAGTTTTAGGCAACATATAGCATAATGCATAAAGCAAAAACTGATGCCTTGATAAACATGTGACATGATTAATATGCTGAAATTATGTCTGGACAGTATACAGCTTCAACCATGAATACTACTTAATAAACATTGCTTATTTACACTTTGCTGTGCACTAATATTATGCAAACTAAACTGATACAGTAAATATATACCCCTTCTATGCTACTGAATTGACATACAAATAACATGTATATAAATGTTGATATAATTACCAAAATATCTACATTTCATTAAAGATTTGAGGTGAACGATTGACTGAATATGATATGCTGAAATGCCACTATTTTGTAAAGGAAGTTTGAGGTGATAGGTGAGAGTAATTTACTAATTTGTCATGCATTTTGCCAAGGAATATTCTGAAACAATAGATCCATATTTAATATCATTTTCAGTGAAATTGTTTTGAAATTGCTTTTAGTTTTCCATATATCTTTACATGTCCAATTATATTTTGGTCTTTCTATAAATGATAATTTCAAAGCTATGAACGAATTGTATTGAAGGAATGACATTGTCACTCATTTGCTTTGATATGTGTATGAGTTAAAAAATTGCAGATGTATTGAGAGTAATGTATTTAGTCCATAAAATGTGTTTGGCAGATTAATTTCCATCTTTGACAGTTGACAGTAACAAATATTTTTAAGTAAAATGTACCTTTATTTCACCACAAGTAAAATTTGTTTTTGTAAAATATTGATGGCTTATAGCTAATTGTTGTTGTGTACTTGTCCGTAGACCCTTCGATCCTGAACTACTCAGCGATAACAAGAGACAAGATCAGTTGACATCGTTTACTGGTCGCCATCTCACAACAGACAAAAACGCACCACTTCCGCTCTCCTACTTCCGTGATTAACATCCGGACAGTACTAACTTAACAGCCGGGAACAACCATTACAGACCAATATCCTACAATTGTTGATAATTATTCCCTTTGAAAATAATTGAAATGGATAATTGTATTAGAAGCCCACAGCCCAGAAATAGACATAACTAAACTGATTAGATTGGGTTTTTATTGTAAATATGTGTATCTGTTGTACTGTAGTTCACAATATGTTTGTAAATAAATTTATTGTTGTTTTAAACATACTTCTGTTGATCAATAGGGGCGGTGGGGTAGCCTAATGGTTAAAGCGTTGGCTCGTCACGCCGAAGACCCGGGTTCGAATCCCCACATGGGTACAATATGTGAAGCCCATTTCTGGTGTCCCCCCGCCGTGATGTTGCTGGAATATTGCTAAAAGCGGCGTAAAACCAAAATTAGTCAGTCAGTCTGTTGATCAATATTAGTTATTATGATAAAAAATTATCAATGTAAGTGTTAACCTTGTGAAATCCAAAACCTAAACCATTGTTGGGTAGGTTGCGTAACTGTTATATACATTTCCCGGCTAAAGTCCCAAAGCATACTTCTTAAGGTTAAGGTTTGTAATGATAACTGAGAGAATCATGTAAAGCAGTTCCAATGATACATGGTTGAACAGAGATGTCCTTTTTAATCTATTTTTTGTAAGCAGAGATAGGCACTGAGTGTTGGGTATTTCTGTTCACCTGCTGACTCTCTCAAGTGACCTTGTAGCTGTTGCATTTTTGCTGTGGACTGATCATAAATCAAGACCTGATTCATTACAAGTACTTATCGCTTGTTCCAACCCTATAGTCTGTGTGCAGTGAAAACGTACAGATGCATTTCACTTTAAACAAAAAATTAACTCGAATAAAGTGAAAATAAGACTGAATTCTCATAATTTTACCTTGCCAATTGAACATTTAAATCTCAGAATTTTATTCAACCTAGGATAAAAGGTGTTTAACAAACGATCATAGTCTCAATACACTATTATTGGTTTGTATTACAAAGGGGTATGCACATTAAATTAAACACCGAGAACAAGTAGGGTTGGTCTAAGTTTATGTTCATCTTGTACCGCACATGCATTTGTTTCACTGTTCCAACTACTGCGCTTACCCCCTTGTAATACAAAACCATAATAGTGATTTGAATCTATGATCGTTTGTTAAACAACTTTTTCCTAAGTTGAATAAAATTCTGAGTTTTAAATGTGCATTTGGCAAGGTAAAATTATGAGGATTCGCAATCTTCATTTCACTTTATTTTATTTACTTCTTTTTTTAAAGTGAAATTCATCGGTACGTTTTCACTGCAACAGACTAAGAGTCACTCTCTAACATCAGTTATAGAAAATGAATCAAAAGACATCTTTTTGACATTAGTTGTAAATGATAGAAATTTATCCAAGATCAGTTACAGAAAATGACTCAAAAAGATATCCTTCAGTGTCTTGGCAAGATATTGTCAGTTGTGAATGGTAGCATTTTATCCAAGATCATTTTACAGGGTAACATCCACTCAGGAGTATTGTCTCAGGCCTATTTAGACACAATACAGGACACTGTAACCATGGTAATGTAACTATGAAATCGCATATTTTATGAAACCTTTCATTCTCACATTCAGGTTTTCACTCCTGTGTTTGTGTTCTATACCAGATATGGGATGCTGTAGACTGCAACCAGGGTTCACTCACTCGGAATGGCTTGTACAAGGCTCTGGCACTCACAGCTCTGGCACAACAGGGAAAGGCAATTAATGAGAAGTTTCTTGACACCTTCTCGGGGCAAGGTATAAGATTTTCTTGTTCTGTGATGTCAGGAGCACAAATCCCAATCAGATTCAGTTCATTCCATATCCTTTTGAAGGGACGGTGGGGTAGCCTAGTGGTTAAAGTGTTCGCTTGCCACGTCGAAGACCCTGGTTTGATTCCCCACATGGGTAGAATGTGTGAACCCCATTTCTGGTGTCCCCTACCATGATATTGCTGAAATATTGCCAAAATCGGCATAAAACTAAACTCACTTACTCACTCATATCCTTTTGTTCCTTTCCACTTTCATACTTTACTTACACCTTCATATCAAACATCATTTACCTATATCTTTTTATGTTGCATTGATATGAAAGTCAGATTGAAACATTGACATGTGATAAAAGAAATTGTCTAGATGTCTTCTGTCACAGGTTATCTAACCAACTGTGTGACGTAAAATATATGTTTACACAAAGAAACACAAAAAAATATAGAGATCCAATGTCCTAGCTGAGCATACTAGACCAAATAAATTGATATTACTGTTGGTTCAGACTGGTGGCTCAAGCTGCAAGTTTGCATTGTACACATGCTGAACAGCTAAATGCTTGTATTTTAACATTTTTCAGAACATGTTCACTGTCAATTTCCTTCCTCATACACTCGGTTATACGGCAATAAGGCATTTAGGAAAACAGATTATTGCTCCTGCACACAGTTTTAAGAAATGCAGATTCAATAGTATTTCACTTGGTCTTGAAAACTTGAAGTAGTTACTTGGAAAGATTTACTGCAAGATATTTCATGTACATGATATCTGATATGTGTCTATCTAGCAATTCACTAATCATGCTAATATGTACATAACTGATTTTTTGCTTTAGATGACTTACAAAATTTTGCTATTTATATGAATTTCTAAAATTATGTGGGGCGGTAGGGTAGTCTAGTGATTAAGGCGTTCGTTCGTCACTCTGAAAACCTGGGTTCGATTCCCCTCATGGGCACATTTCATGAAGTGCTGGAATATTGCTAAAAGCAGTGTAAAACCCAACTCAATCACTCTATTTTATGTTGTTGTCGTGGGCATGTTCACTAGCAAGAGAATGTAACAAGGAAATGTGATTTAATATACTTTTGTCCTTTCTTTGTTCCGAATTGTATTATGATTATTGTTTCAAGATAGTGATCATGAAATGATATTTTCATGCGTGTGATTACTTCAGGGTATCATCCTTTGTTACAATATCATGTTATTTGTGCCTGTAGAATTACCTAAGCCGACCCTTGGTGACCTGTCTGACCTGAAAGCTTTGAGTGTGAAGATGCGAAGAGAAAGGAATCCAAATGTGCTTGGCTTCAACTACAATGAATTGTGTAACCTTGACATTGTGAAGGTGGAGCTAGTTCCTGAGAAGAAAGGCCTCATCCTCAAGCATGTAGAGTATGAGGTCACAAGTCAGGTGAGCGCTGTTCATTACATATTCATTACACCGTCTAGGACCTGGTATGTGTCATCAGCTATGCAGATTTGTGCCCTTAGTTGTTCTTGGATCTGCTGATCATGGGTTCAAATCCAAACTTTGCCTTACTTCTCCCATATGGTTGCCCTTTTAGTATCACAAAAGTATGTCCAAAGGCATGAAGTGTGTGACCCTGTATAGGTTACTTACTCGTCATAAAAACCCGTGAAGGTCCGGGTTAGAATGAACCTTCAGTAACCCATGCTTGTCGTAAGAGGCGACTAACGAGATCGGGTGGTCAGGCTTGCTTGGTTGACACATGTCATCGGTTACCAATTGCGCAGGTCGATGCTCATGCTGTTGATCACTGGATTGTCTGGTCCAGACTCAATTATTTACAGACTGCCGCCATATAGCTGGAATATTTCTGAGTGCGACGTAAAACTAAACACTCATTCACTTGTCATAAAATGTGACTTGATGTTCAGGTTCAGTTCCTCCACTGATTGTGTGTCATTATGGGACATTGCTTACAGTCATGATATCTCTCAGGTTTGTTTGGTCCTGACGGGATTAGCTAAGCTAATAAAGCTGGAACAGTACCGACTGTGTAAAGAAACAAGTGAATCTTCCTGACACATTAGCTTATGTGTGGTGATATGATGACTGAAATACTTTTTAAGCCTTGTTAAACCAGCATGTCTCACTAGGTCATTCACTCACTAGACTGACGTTGTCCTTGACTTTCCTGCCACAGTTGTGGTGCTAGTATTTGTTGCATCAATATAAGGCAAAGAAAGGATAAGAAAGAGGTATAATAAGAGACCATACAAATGTAGAATCATCAAGAGATGATGCTCTTCACCACAGCAATATGAAGTTTTGCAGCTCATGTGACTATCAACTTATAACCAGTGATAATTTTAATTGACGAATGATGCCATGTGCAGCGTCGGTATATCTTCAAGTAATCTGAAGATGCATTTTATGTGTTGTCTTGTTGACAGCCACCAACACTATCAGATTACAATCGATTGCACTGTTACACACTTCCATTGTACACAGCTTTATTTTCAGCTATAGAAGGTATGTGGAAAATGCCTTTCAGGAGTAGCCAGTGCATGTTTTTAAAAGTAACTGATATGTGTTGTCCCAACCAAATTTCAATGTAATTGTAAAATTGAGTTTTTAGGAAAAATTGCTCATACTAAATATGTATTTTAATGTTCTTGAAGTTAAATGGCATATTCACATACAAGTTCAATTGTATAATGACATGCAATAAGTAAAGAAATCAATGTTTAAGTCTGTGTACCTATCTTTTAGTACTGAACTAATAGGCCAAATTTTAAAAAATGTTGTGGTTCCGAATACACCTCTTTAAAATTTAGGTGAGGTTGGTAGGATTTGTTTTGATTTTTTACATTTTTAACTAACTGAATAACACATTTATCAATGTGTAATTGTTTATTCAATCAAGCTTGCGACCATCATGTCGACTTTCTCTATCAGGATGACCGATGTCCGTCGGGGCAGGGATAAAACAATGGTATTTATTCATACTGCTTAAATAAAATAGGGTAGGTTGGGTAATCGGAACCACAACATTTTTTTAAGACACCTACATTCACTTTAACAGGGGAAAAATGTCATATGTCAGAGTGATCAATATAGACATGAGAAGAGGAGAGAATGATATTACATTGTAGCCTATTAATGACTGTTCCACTTTACTAGATGTCCTATTGTACCTAAACCACATTAAGGTTAGAGTATCAGGTAATTACAGATGTATAGTGAGTAGGACCATACATCATGTTCTGTGATGTGCAGATGTCAGTGAACATGAACACACAGAATATGATGTAGTCCCATGAGCTAAATCTCTTAAGTCAACAAAGTACCTTTGTTTATTCAGGAAATCTTCCCTGGATTTGTAGTGACCATGTGTAACCCTGCTAGTTCGGTCATGTTTGTCCGACATATTCAAGGGTAGACGCATCCAATTTGTCCACAACTCTATTTAGATTAGTGGATTATGTATGCTACTCATATATGGATAAGGAAATAGCCATTCTTCATATTACCATGATAACTATTGTCAACCATGAACCTTTAGCCTGCAGAATATATTTCAACATTAGGTGCTAAAGAGAGGGTGGGTGATTTCAAACAGTAGGCGTGTCATTAAATACATAACAATTGAACAAATATTTTACACATTAATACTAGAAAGAAAAATTATCCTGATTTTTTTCAAACAGGTTAAGGCCAAAGCCAACATAAATAATGTCAATTTTCTTGAATTTACCTCAATTACTTGATTGACAGTGGAATGCGTTTCATATTATGAACCTGTATATATTGCTAGATTTGTTCTAAATGATTTCAATAGTCATATCTCTGATGTCTAATATTTATCTGAGCTTAAATTAGTGTATTTTTATCAGTAACCATTGTATGTTCTTTGTCATCACATGCTTTGTTCAGATCACATCATTAGGTTTATTCCGATGTGTCATGTCATGAAAATTGCAGAATACAGTAAATGATTTATGAATATTCACAAGGTCCTAATTTCAAGTGTTATGCAGAGGCCCAGATAAGCTGCATATCTGGGTAAAATACGCATAGAAAATTTCCAATTACGCATTGAAAAATAATTGTTGCATACCAATTACGCATTAAAAGTGTTAGATACGCAAAGAGTTTAAAACAAATGCGTACGGAATATACTTATAAAAATCGCTTGCGTAATGAAAAAGACATCGATTGCTATCAAGTTGTACTGTTAGTATAGGACAAGTGTTGTATTGTCAGTATAGGATGACTGATTTTTTATGAAATCATTTCCCTTATATTTAACAGTGTTTAAGTTGGTTTTGATTAGGTATGACATAAGGCAGAACATACCTGCTTAGTAAACTTACTCAATGACACAATACTTTGGTGTGTAAAATGACTGAAATACGCACATATTTGAAAGCAGTGGGTAACGGAAAATGAAATACCCACTCAACATTCATAATACCCACTCCAAAAAAATACAGTGGGTACAGTACCCACATTAGCTAAATCTTATCTGGAGCTCTGTGTTATGTTTCATTATGTTAGACACTGAACCACACAAATCCCGTGTTGTATTCCATTACATGTATGAAAAACAAACATTACACACTTTGCCCAACGTCTGCATAAATATTGCTATTTTAAAATCAGCAAAGTTTACCAACCTTTCACTCAAGTGTTTCATGTATCATTATTTTTCCTTATCCTGACTCATGCTTATTGCTTGTCATCTTCTTCTTGCGAACATAGTGGAACACGTGTATCTCCCAATTGAAGTTCCCTTCAATTAAAAAATCACTAATTAGTACTCACCACGAGTTACCTCCCTTCCACAAGCGCGGGAGCGAGGGCGCCACCTGAACCCATGTGCCTCACTCTCTCCTTCTTCGCCCAGTGAGCTGGACGTGAGAGTGCCTGTGTCTCCCAACACACTATATCCTTTATATTTTTCCTTATCCTGACTCATGCTCTTTTGCTTGTCTTCTTCTTCTTGCGAACATAGTGGAACACTTGTATCTCCTTATTTGAAGCTCCCTTCAAAATAAAATCACTACTTGGTACTCACCACGAGTTGCTCCCCTTTGTTTCCCCTGGCGGGAAAGGTGTCGCCACCCTCTGGCCATGTGCTTCACTCTCTCCTTCTTCGCCCAGTGAGCAGGATGTGAGAGCGCCTCGTGTCTCCTTACACACCATATCCTTTGATAATCTCTTAGTTTTACCTCTCATAGGTTACTATAGAGGTATAGCTAGTATCCTTTACTATTTGTATTGATTAATTATCGATTTCTACTGTTTATTCACGTGTATTCGTGATTGTTCAGCTAGCTTTACGTTGATGAAAATCTGTACGATTTGTAGATTACGCTTTTTCTCTGCCTCCGATCCACATGTAATATGCCCTAGTTGTTCTACGCGGTGTCGCGTTTAATTCACGCTGCAGTTACTGCATTAATTTATCTCATTCTGCATTTAATAAATATCATCTTTATGTCTTAAGACGTGCTGCAGATAGATCACGCAAACAAGGGCAAACATGGCAGAGAGTCCAGATATTCCATCCAGTCAGCTGCTAGCGATCGAATCTCTCCGCCGGGTGTTCTGCTAGAGACCCTTCGGTAGAGGAACGTGGACGCAGTCCGTTACCTCGAGAAACGACCGGCCTCCCCAGACATCCCGTCATTGCAGACCAAGTCTAAGAGGGCTCTCATCGCCGCCTCAACGCCAGATTGAGGACACCCAGGGCAGCGCAGACTTCCAAAGGAAATCTCACGAAGACAGCAAGAACTTTCAGCCGAGATCGCTCCAGCAGCAGAATTGGGCCTCTACGATGATCAGCCGATAATCATCCCCGACTTACGGCAGAAGAAGCGACCGGTGTCAGCGACTGTGACTTCTGCAGAGATCACCATGCAGCCTGATGCCTCTACACCGACGCCAGACATCATTGATGTGAACCCCATCGCAGAGAAGACGCCGACGACTTCGGGCTCACAGATCATCCCAGAAGACATGATGCGGCAGATTATGAACATCATGGAGGACCACTACAACCTGCGCAAGCAGGGTCCGAGTTTTCTCGCTAAGGCTCCAACGTACAGCACCCCAGAGGCACCCCCATCACGTAGCAGCCAAGACGATGTCACCTTCGCGAAGGAAGTCCCGCACCACCTTGACGAAGAACCTAGATGTACAGCCTTCGCTGGCCTTCGCTAAGGCGGGAGAGATCATCACCATCTTCGATTTCATCTCTAGATATGGACTCAGACCATCAGACATCACGGGGGCCTTCAAGGTCATATCATCGATCCCCGGACCGGACGCCAAATGAAGCTTCGGCGAAGGCATTCGCGAAGGACATATGATTCCAGATCCTCATCATCTAGAAGAACATCGAGGGACTACCGAAGAGCTTCGAAGCTATCAACATTCAC